CCTTTTCCTCTTTTATATTTTCAAGTATTTGTAGAAATTATAACCTTTTCTTCTCAAAATTCACCTTTAATTGTTTTCAAACTCTTATGTGTTTAAACATAAACCCCCTACTATTTGAGCCTATACTTGTCTATTTGCTAAATTGTACAAATTCACAATAAACTATCTGGCCGGGAACCACACTAGTGGATCCTGGGGGGTGCCTAACACCTTCCTCTTAGGATAATTTCAAGATCTTACCCGATCTCTGGTTGTCAAACAAGCTTAGGAGTAGATATTATAGGTGTCCTAATGCACCTTAAATAATTAGGTGGAGACTCTTCAAAAATGCAAAACCCAGTTCACAAAAAGAATGAGTTGTCTCATACCAAATGTCATAAACCCGATCTCCCGATTGCATAAACAGGGAAAAAAGGGGGTGCGACACCAACCAAATTAACTTCAAAGAATAAATAAAACACATAAGAAACTATTCTGCATCATAAAGTCTCAATTTTTAACAAAATCTAAAAATCGATCAAAAAGTCGACCCTCTGGCCCGCATCTCGGAACACGACAAATCATGCAAAGTCTCAATTTGTTTATCGCGAATGCGGAGGAAGTATCGCGTTCACGAAGAAGAAAAATGAAGGCTGCCTAGGTTCCTCATCGTGAATGCATAAGTCTGATGGCCCAAAGACTGCTCTTTGCGAACGCGAGAACTAGTACGCGACACGAAGAGTGGAACGACATAACTACGCGAATGCGAGTGACAGATGCAAATGCGATGAAGGAAGAGACAAAGCATCATGAACGCAATGCGTGTTATGCGAATGCGAAGAAGGAAAATTGAGGCAACCAGAAGAGACTCTTCACGAACGCGAAAGGGGATTTGTGAACGCGAAAGAAGATATCAGACACCAGAAAATAGCAGTTCAAAAACAAGGGAAAATGACTCGTAGCCAACCTCGAACACACCCGAGGTCCCAGGGAATCCATCTAAACACACAAACAAGTCATATTACCTAATACAGACTCACTCGAGGTCTCAAATTATATCAAACAATGCCGAAATGATGAATCACACCATGATTCAAAATTAGGAAATTTCAAATCTTCCAACTTTCAAAACTCACGCCGAAACCTATAAAATCAACCCAGAATGATGCCTAATTTGGCAGACAACTCCAAAATGACACAACAGAGCTGCTCCAATTGTCGGAATAGCATTCCGACCCCGATATCGTGAAAGTCAACTATGGGTCAAACTCCTCCATTTTTCAAACTTCAACTTTTCCAACTTTTATCGAAACACCTCAATATACACTACGGACATCCAAATTTGAATCCTGACGAAGCTGTTGAAATCACCCACAACCCATTCCGTAGTTGTTTACTCAAAAGTCCAATTTCGGTCGAATTCTCACTGCTTAAGCTTACAAACCTAGATTCCTTCTTTAAGTTTGACTCTGAATAATTCATTAACTGAATTCAACTATGCACGCAAGTCGATACCCATATTATGAAGCTATTCCTGACCTTACGCCGCTGAATGGAGCTTAAATTCTACAACCAGTCGGGTCGTTATATTTTGGGACTTGGAATATTTCTGTTTTGCTATTTGGAACTTCTCCGCAAGGTTTAGTATCATTCCGAGATGATTTGACAGGAATCAGATGCATGGTTGGGATTTTAGAAGTTATTGAGTTTCATTGAAAATTTCATGTGTTTTGAGGTCTGATTTTTGGTTCTAGATCTTGACTACCTCTAACCCCACGAGTTCATATATGTATTTTATTTTCAAATCTGTGTCTAATTCGACTCCCAAATCCCAAATTCATTTTTCAAAACATAGAACAAATTCCTAAATTTTCTCTTTGATTCTCACAAAATTTGATGTTAAATATCATGTATGATCATGTAAAATAATTGAAAAAAGATCAAAATCAATAATTTATTGATTGTAGGTAAAAATCCCCTCTACAAATCGCCTCCTACCGAGTCTAGGATTGTAAAATGTGAAAATGAGACCAAAATCCCATCTTCCAGCCCTTTTCTTCAGGTGCAAATGTCGCAATTGTGAATAAAAGAAAACCATCAAATATGCGTGTAACGGCCCAGCCGGTTGTTTCAAGAGTTGTAGCCGCATTTCTCATTTACTACTAATTTTGTGCTTTGTAGTTGTTATATGACCTACCCGATTAGTCGGTTCGGGTCCGAGAGGATTTCAGAATGAATTTTGAGACACTTAGTCTCATAATGGAAAGCTTAAGTTAAAAAGGTTGATGGTATGTTGACATATATGTAAACAACTCTGGATTGGAGTTTTGATGGTTTTGTTAGCTCTATTGGGTAATTTTGGACTTAGGAGCATGTCCTATTATAATTTAGAGGTTCGTAGTTGAATTAGACTTGAAATGGCAAAAGTTGGAAATTTTAAAAGTTTAACCAGGAGTGGACTTTCTGATATCAGGGTCGGATTGGGATTTCGGAAGTTGGAGTAGGTCTGCGGTGTCATTTATGGCTTGTGTACAAAATTTGGGATCAATCAAATGTAATTGGATAGGTTTCGGCATCGTTTGTGGATATTAGAAGTTCAAAGTTCAATAGGCTTGAATCTTTGTGCGATTCATGTTTTTGATGTTGTTTGAGGTGATTTGAGGGCTCGACTAAGTTTGTATCCTATTTGGGACTTGTTTGTATGTTTGGTTGATGTCCCCGGGGCTTCGGGTGCGTTTCGGATGGTTAACGAATCATGTTTGGAACTTAGAGAATTGCTGAAGTTGGAAGTTGATGGTGGTCACTGAAGTGAGAAGTAGAGCGCAAAAGTAGCCTTGGGCAAGGTGTGAGTAGTGGTCATAGCTGCGAAGGATTTGCCACACCTGCGTGGCCGCAGATGCAGCGAAGTGAGGGCATAAGCGAAAGTAGAGAGATAAGCTAGGTCCGCACAAGTGAGTCCGCAAGAGCAAATGGTTGGGTCGCAGTTGCAGAGAAAATTGCAGAAGCGGGCGTGTAGTCGCTATTGCGAAGCGGCTAAGTTGGCCGCAGAAGCGAGATTGCTGTGCAGACTATTTAAAATCGAGGGTTCCGAGATTTTCACTATTTCTAACATTTTGAGCTCGGGTTTTGGAGATTTGAGAGAGGAATTTCGAAGGGATTCTTGAGGTAAGTCACTTGTGGTTAAATTTATTCAATAATTATGTGTCCCCATTGATTTTCCCAGCTAGTTTATGTATTTGTTAGGTGTAATTTGGGGCTTTGAGGCTAGGGATTTGGAGAGTTTGATTTAGGGAGTTGGGTGACGATTTGGTGCCGGATTTTGATAAAATTTGGTATGCTTAGACTCTTAATTGAATGGGCTTCCAGGTTTTGAGACTTTTGTCAGATTTTGTAATGTGGGACCAGGGGTAGGCTTTGAGCCAATTTTGGATTTTGCTTAATAACTTCGTATTTTCTAGTGAAATTGATTCCTTTAGCCCATATTGATTGAATTATACTATTGTGACTAGCTTCGGGATATCTGGAGGCCGATTCGCAAGGCAAAGGTGTGTTGGAGATGAGACTTGCTCGGATTGAGGTAAGTAACAGTTAAATTTGGTTTTGAGGGTATGAAAGCCCAAACTATGTGTCATGTGAGTGGTTATGAAGTGATACACATGTCATTAGCGATTCACAAAGCATCGTTAGCGGTTTGCAAAGCATCTTTAAGGATTCAAAAAGCACCTTAGTAATTCAAAAAACACCGCTAGCGGTACTTAGAGTAATACATAGTTAGTGCTATTACAGGTTCACAAATACTGTTAGTAATAAACAGAGTACCATTAACAGTAGGAAACATTACTGTACCAAATTTCCAAAACATAAGATATACTTAGTATTTTTTTGTAGATGATTAAAAATACACACACATTCTCGGTTGGGTTGGGATATTTTGTTTTGTTTCAAACTCTTTTTGATTAACACCAAATCAAATTATATTTATTGATGTTATTATTCAATCTTAACACGAAATCTAGTCAAGTCAAAC